AACACTAATTTCAAAATCTAAGTTTTGGCTAATATTAAAATTAATTTATTTTCAAGACTAATAACTTAAAAAATTACAAAATTTTATTGAATATTTATGAAACAAGGAAGTATTGCAGGATGTAATGAAAAAAAAAAGAAAATAAATGTCTGTCATTAAAATATACTGCGGACAAGTGTTTACTCGCGAGCAAGGATATTTTTTTACTCAAGTATCCCAAGGGACAAATAAAATTGTAAGTTGGACCGATACAATTGGTTTTCTGTTTAAGTTGTCACAATTATAAAACGTGTTTTTAAATAAATTTATTTCTTATGTTTTGTTGATTACAATGATGATAAATATAGAATAACTAGAATTTATATATTGTAAAAGTTCTTTATATTAATTATACGAATTAAATTTATCAAGTTGCTGTAGAGCTTACAATGCTAAAAATATTTTAGATTCTTCAGTTTTGTACAAATTTGCCAACATGTTACTCGTGCTTGAAAAATAGTTTATATGCAATACATTATTGTTCGAAAATACTGCCAAACTTTAATGAATTTTTATAAAAATTAATTATAATTAGCCACTTGCCGTAGGCCTGCATATTTCAAGAGATTTGTTCACACCATGCACTTTATCAATTTACAGAGGCATTTAATTACAATGGTCGCAAGACAAATTTGTCGCAAATTTTGCAAAAATAGGATGTTTCCGCCCGGGATCGAACCGGGGGCCTTCCGCGTGTTAGGCGGATGTGATAACCACTACACCACGGAAACCTACAGTTCTTTGGCTACTTTACCTTTGCAGACTATGGATTTTTAATTTGTCTCCCAAAACATAATTTTTGGTGTATTTTTCAAAAGATGGGCTCGTCCGGGATTTGAACCCGGGACCTCCCGCACCCTAAGCGGAAATCATACCCCTAGACCAACGAGCCATGGTAATAGGAGTATATTACCGCAAAATCGCTGAAATTGAATTGTTCATATAAATAATTATGAAGTATTTTAAATTATTGCCAAAATATCATGTTTCCGCCCGGGATCGAACCGGGGGCCTTCCGCGTGTTAGGCGGATGTGATAACCACTACACCACGGAAACACATATTTCTACAACATACAATTAAAATTGCAATAATTTGCATACTAGGCCCACATTGTATTTATGAATTAACACAGTGTTTCTATGCTGATTCGGCAAAAACGTAACAATTCGTACCAGCAAAGTAAGAAAAAACGATATTTATTAATATTTGTTCATGTATTGATATTTATAAGTAAATTTTATTTTATTTTGCAAAAGTATTAAATATCAGTATTTTTAATTTGTAAAATAATTATTCACAATCAGAGTACCTGTAAATGATACAAATATACACTATATGAAAATTTCTTAATAATTATTTTATTTTGGCATTCAATAACACATTAGAATGCTTTACTAGACATTCTAAATGTGTTGTCGATTGGGTTATATTTACTTGCAATGACTTTGTGACTTGATGAGCCCTTTTGTTGAAATTATTTATTTAGCTGTTCAAATATCGGAGCACCATTGCAAGGCTGAATATATTGTAAACAAAAATTCTTTGCCAATCTAGAAAAACATAAATATAACTTTGGTTCCTAGGCCGTCTCACTTTATTTTTAATAACTTTCCGAACGAGAAATTTATGTTTTTGCTAGGAAATCCGATTTGCTAATTCTATCTTTTCTGGACTTTTCAAGTCTTCATGAATCGTTAATTCTGAAAGCAACTTGGTATAGTTATAGATAACCTATGAATTAATATAGATTTCCAATTGATTCAGTAATTAGTAAGTTACAACTATTTTCATATTACTTCCCAGGGCACAATTATTATAAAGAATATTAGGATAAGTTTCATTCAGTTGATCAATAAAAATAATTAAATAAAATTGAATTTTGGTTCCTGATACTATGATGTACAAACACTCACAACTGTTCGTGTTTGCGATGTAAGCAGGCGTGTAAAAATTCTAGGTCAATCTTCCAGCAAGCAAATCGTCGGTGCTAAAAATTTACTTTTTAATCTAAAAAATGATATTGTTAACGTATAAAAGTTTGTGCTTCCAAAAGCAATGTTAATAACAAATTCCTACATGTGTTTTTCAAAATTAAAAATATTGCTGGGCTCGTCCGGGATTTGAACCCGGGACCTCCCGCACCCTAAGCGGAAATCATACCCCTAGACCAACGAGCCGTTGAATAGAGAAGCGATATTTATGAAACTGTTGTTATTATTAAACAACTTGTAAATATTTGTTTATTGCTAAAATATCATGTTTCCGCCCGGGATCGAACCGGGGGCCTTCCGCGTGTTAGGCGGATGTGATAACCACTACACCACGGAAACCACATATATAATTAAAAAATTAAAAAAATAATCATAATAAATGTATTATTATTGAGCCAAATATGCAAAATGCTGCAATTTTAATTAAGTAAAGAATGTAATGATAATCTGGTTCCTACACGCGTATATTGATATATTACATGTCATAAATTTTATATAATCCAAGGGTGCACCCTTTCATAATTTAAAATTCAAAATAAGCCACTTTCTACTTACCTTTAGGGCCATGCGACAACTTGTTTTCGGCCTTGTATACCATCAGGGGGCGTAGCTCAGATGGTAGAGCGCTCGCTTAGCATGCGAGAGGTACCGGGATCGATGCCCGGCGCCTCCAACCTTGATTTTTCCATTTTATATTACCAATTTATTAACAATTCTTTCTTATTTTAATAAATAAAAATTTTAACATATTTAAAAATATTGGATTTCCTATATAGTATTTTACATTAAAGTTTTCACAAATATTATACTCCAACCTTGACTTTTCCATTTCATATTACCAATTTATTAACAATTCTTTCTTATTTTAATAAATAAATATTTTAACGCATTTAAAAATATTGTATTTCCTATATAGTATTTTACATTAAAGTTTTCACAAATATATATACTCCAACCTTGACTTTTCCATTTTATATTACCAATTTATTAACAATTCTTTCTTATTTTAATAAATAAATATTTTAACATATTTAAAAATATTGAATTTCCTATATAGTATTTTACATTAAAGTTTTTACAAATATATATACTCCAACCTGGATTTTTCCATTTTATATTACCAATTTATTAACAATTCTTTCTTATTTTAATAAATAAATATTTTAACATATTAAAAAACATTGAATTTCCTATATAGTATTTTACATTAAAGTTTTCACAAGTATATATACTCCAACCTGGATTTTTCCATTTTATATTACCAATTTATTAACAATTCTTTCTTATTTTAATAAATAAATATTTTAACATATTTAAAAATATTGTATTTCCTATATAGTATTTTACATTAAAGTTTTCACCAATATATATACTCCAACCTTGATTTTTTCATTTTATATTACCAATTTATTAACAATTCTTTCTTATTTTAATAAATAAATATTTTAACATATTTAAAAATATTGAATTTCCTATATAGTATTTTACATTAAAGTTTTCACAAATATATATACTCCAACCTTGATTTTTCCATTTTATATTACCAATTTATTAACAATTCTTTCTTACTTTAATAAATAAATATTTTAACATATTTAAAAATATTGAATTTCCTATATAGTATTTTACATTAATGTTTTCACAAATATATATACAACTATAATTTTCAATATTTCAATTATCCTTTATTTTTGAATAGTACATTATATTACTTTTGCTTCCTGATGATATCCTGATTATTACAAAAATCATTCACAATGTATTTATAATATTCAAACAGAATATATCTATATCATTAAGTAACGGAGTCTATTCGACACAGCATCCAACATGATCAAAATTTAAACTTTTAAATTACAGATTCTATTATGATTTAAATTATGATTTATTTTATTAACTTGTCAATTTAACTAATCCTTGACTATGAACTTGTTTTGATTATTTTAGCTTATAAATTTACCGTATTTGAAGCTCAGACACAATATTTTGTAAGTGCAACACACCTTTCGATCACAGATGGTGCAGCTATTTTGGAAATGTTTAAAACCGAAAAGAGGCGTCCACCTATGATCAAAAAGTATATTGCACGTACATAAAATTCTGTCTGAACATGATTTGTGGTAAATATATAGGCTAAAATATTTAAAATATGCTAATAGCCTACTTGGCGCTATTAATCGTGCGAAATTTGTGCAAATTCAATAAAGCGTGTTTTGCATGATATTTGCGCAAACTTGCGATCGAATGCTAGTAACGATAAAAATACGAATGTTTAAGGGTAATTTTGATAAATATGTCACATAGCCTTTTTAACTGAATATTTTAAATATTTTCTGCCTGCATATTATCAATTTATTATAATTTTTTTAAAATATTAAAACGTATTAAATAGCAAAAATATTTTTTTAAACGATATTAAATCAAATCCATTCAAAATATCTTATATGGTATTAATAATTAATTTTAATATGACATAATTTATAGTAAATAGTAAACAAAACTATCATTTTTATATAGAATTAGAGATAAATGAATTGATATTATTAAGAACTTCATCTTATAACTTAAATTAATTCACATTTAAATTGAAAATAAAGAAAACATGAATTCTTAAGTTCAATAGATTTCAAATCACTTAATTTCTTAAGTTACTAATAAACATTATATAGGTATATATTAATGATTTATTTAATGGGTAATTTTTTTGAATATCTCATTATGAGTAAAGCTGTAGTTAATATATTTTAGTGGGCGAAGTTAATTATTATACTGTTTATATGAAAAATATAAAATAATTCACATGATTAATTTGCCAAACCATTCTTTATTATTTGTCTGATATAGTAGACTGCGTGGCTTCAATTATTATTTATCTAGAGTTTATCACCTTTATTATAAAGATAAGAACATGGCAAAATTGTATTTGCAAAATATAAACCAGTATCATAATATTATTACATGTAGTAGCAGAAATTTTGCAAACTCGTCAATATTTTAAAATTGACAATGAATATCAGAAATATTTTAAAAGTGATTTGTATTCTAAGTTTATACAAGATTAGTATAGAAGCAAAATGCAGTATTAAAGAAAATGAACCGTTTAGCATTAAGTGTAACGGTTTCCAGAATTACTTAGATCTTGACCAGAATTCAAGTATCAAGAAAATCGAGTATGAAAATTTGAATGCGCCGATCTTGCCTGCAATAAAAACTTACGCTAAGGTAAATACATTTATTTGCAATAAATGTGGATTGGAGATTTTGTATGGAAAAGATTTTGATTATTTGAAAAATTTATTATATTTGGATTTATCATACAATAGCATAGCAGAACTGGAACCAGTATTTGCAAACGTAAATAGCCTGGATGTGCTGAATCTTAAAGGTAACAAAATTAAACATTTGAGTCGCAGAATTTTTGCAGATATTCAAAAACTTAATGTCTTGGACTTGAGCGAAAATAAAATCCGTATTTTGCACAATGCCACATTCATGTTACCAGACTTATCAACACTTATATTGAGCGATAATGCTATCTCCGACATTGATGATAATACTTTTCTTGGATTAGAATCGTTGACTGATCTGTACTTGGCGCGCAATAAAATTTATGATTTGAGCGAAAATTGTTTTCGCTACAACAGTCAACTAAATGTTTTAGATTTATCTGGTAACAAATTGGACGAAGTTCCACTGAAAACGTTTTCCAACTTGCGAAAGTTGCAGTTTCTTTACTTGAATGGAAATAATATAAGGTCGATACAAAAACGACTATTTTATACCTTGCATGATTTACAATATTTAGATATAAGTGCAAATAAAATATCGAAATTGTCTGACAGTATTTTCAGAAATAATATGAAACTAGTCAGTTTAAGTATGGGTTATAATAAAATAAATCAAATATCTTCTAAAACTTATCAAGGTTTAGATAATTTGAAGCATTTGTATTTGCAACATAACGAATTGGTTATTTTGAACGACAGTGTTTTTGAACAACTGACAAATCTGCATACCTTGAATTTAGCTTTCAACAACATAGAGTCAATATCAAGAAAAGCATTCAAGGGCCTAGAAAATCTGTCAATTTTGGTACTGACTGGTAATCCTATATCCATTCAGGATGTACCTTTGTTACCTAAAAGACTGATAGACATATATATTCATCATTGCTCAGAGTCTACAATTTATATACAAGAATATTTTGAAATTTATCCAAAATTAAGACATTTATACTGCGTGGAAGAAGTTTGGGTCGAAAGGCTTGATGGTTTAGTAGTAGACATAAGCGCAGATTCTGGACAAGCCTTAGATTCTGCTCAAAGTGATAAGAAGATAACATCAAGATTTTATGCTAACGTATTGGTAAATAATTCTATTACATACTTAATTATGTTAATAAAAATATCTAGAGCTTTTCAGTATGAATTTTTGAAAGCAAATGATATATTTATTTTTCTAACAGACTTCGGTAAAAGTACCAGTTAAAAGGATTTTTCTACTAGTAATTATTGCTGTAGCTGGATTAGGTACGACTTTAATAGTAATGGCTTTGATTTTCTTTTGCATCAAATTATCCAAGAAATACGAGAAGGAAAAAACGTTATGTGAATTAGATTACTCTACATATAAGGACTATAAAGGTAGATTTCATTATAATTGCAATGAACAATAAAATCATTTATATTTCTGCTCCTCATTAACTGTGCAAGTACGTTCCATTTTTATTGAGAGTGTTTTGAATGAATGGTGATGGGAAGTAAAGTGCTTTCTTCTAATTGTTCGAGTCGTTTTAATTACAGTAACGACTTTGTGGCCTTGACATGAAATTCTAAATGTTTTATATTGTACAGAATTCAGTACATCGCAAAAATTTTGACTTGCTTTATTCTTGCTTTGATTTGCAATCAAATGTGCTGAAATATATAATTTTTATAAAAGTATATAGCAACATGATAAAAGATTATTGATATAGCATGGTAAAAGTTCATCCATATCATTTAGGGAAAAATCACTCTTTATATTTTAATGTCAGCAAATTTTGAGAGTATCTATTAACAAAGCATAATCATTTAAAAACTAATTATCGTACATAAGATTCATCATGTTAAGTATGTCTCTAATTTCCATTCATACAGAAGCCGATTCATTGTGTTCTATTCTATTGATAATTACATATAAATGTATTCAATCAAAACGTCAAACGCAAATTATTATTTTAATCATAAATCAGATATAGAATCAATTAAAAATAATCGCAATCATATTGAAAATTGAAAATAAAAACGTGTTAATAATAGCGCGAAAGTAATTGGGCCATCACCTGCGGCCAATTTATTTATCTAAGACTTATCAACTCGGTTTCGCGAATAGAGATTGATGAGCATAATTTAGATTGAATACCAAATTTCCATTGAAACAACATTTAATTTTTTACTTTTATCATTCAATTTGTAGCGCGCTTGATATTTGTGATATATTTCAGATAGATTTTATCATTCGAACATTTTGGCCTAAAAATAACATGAGCACTTTAAAAAATATTTGATACTTGCCTCATAATAATGTTGACCATATTTGCTTATTTATAATCCAGGTCGGGAAGGAAATGGTTAATATAAATAAAAACTAGTGGTGTATGGCATCGTGCCTTAAGGCAAATTGCTGGAACTTTCCGTACCGTAATGAAATATTCGAGAAATTTTAAACGTTTTCAAATATTTTATTACAAATACTGTAACTTTCATTATTTTTGCTATCTTCTCATATCTGAGTAAATCAAATGTAAATCATAAATCAATTTATGATATATAGTCACATAGACACAGTAACATTCTAAACGCATTTGCAAATAATTCTGTGCGACATTTTCACTTATACTGTGCTTAGCTTGGCGGCATTTTTACATTTTTCAATAGTTTTCACAAAATTGGAAAAGTGCTCCAGTACATAAACAGTCTAAACGTACTTGGGTAAATATTTGTACCAGAGTGGCGCTTAGACTGTGCTCAGCTTGGGTAATTTTTTGAATTTTTAATCCATAGAAAAAGATGTAATAATTTTTTTAGATCATTCAAATCGGACGCTTAGTTCACCCAAAAACTGCCATTTTTGCACATTTAGCTCTGTATCTTCGAAATGGCGGGACCTGTCTTTGCCAAAAACTAATCACCTCTTCTCGCAATCATTACAAATTGAATGTTTTTTGGATCATTCAAATCCGATACTCCGTTCTCTCAAAACTTAGTTGACTCATTGAGTACATAACTTTTAATATTTTTTTAACTATAGATATAGAATATTTTCAGTAGTTGTTTTCAGTTTTAAGCCCTACATAAAATTTTGTATTTTTTTCTATAATTAACTTGAGTAAGTAGAGAGTTCATCTTCGCATAAATTTCTTAAAGTTTCTTTATATTCGTCTCTGAAGAAGTTCAATTTTTTCCTATAATTTTACGAGTTTGAACTATCCTTTACCTAGTTAGTCATTTCATTAGTCGAGGAAATGGAAACGTAACGAGTGCGAGATCAGTGTCAGTGCGACTGCAAACTATCTCCGAAGACTCGGAGAAACCGTGACTGATTATCGGCTTAAAAGGTACGACTCGCATAATCGCACCAAGATCGCCTTTGCCGGGATGTCGAGATTATTGATTTCTTAACCTTAGTTTACTCATTAACACTTTGGTATAAACTCGAATGATGTTTCTATGAATCTGTTATTCTCAATCTCATAGCCACATAGAAATATATTTCTATACCCCTGATTTCATCAACAGGATTTGTGTGAATTTAAATGAAACGAGATAGTCTGATATTCATTGTTTGCCAAAGCTTTATATTTATCATGTAGCTTCATCATTATTATTATTTGCTCATTTATTTATTTTTTCATAAACTCTTAAGTCAATCTGCTATATTGATATAAAAAAAATATTGCAATTTTTTTTTTCATTTATTTATTTATTTATTTATATATACATTATTTTCATATCTCAGTCAGACAGAAGTGCCTGGTATGAGAGATTATGAAAAATAGTTTTCATATTTTATATATACATTTCATTTGACTATTTCATTAATATAATATCTATTATAATTAAAATATCTTTATATATAACTCTTCAGTCTTCTTTGTCTTCAATTTCCTTATAGTATTTCTTTATTTTTCTTTTAAATTTATCGTCATCATTGGCTATCTTAATATCGTTTGGCAATTCGTTATATATTTTGCTAGCACTCCATATGACATTTTCTCTCAAATTCTCAAATTTAAAGTATGTAATTTTAATTTTATTTAAGTATTCTATTTTATTGCTCATTTATTTATTTTCTCATTAATTCTTAGATCAATCTGCCATATTAATATAAAAAAATATTGGAAAATTTAGAGTAAGTAATTTTAATTTTGATTGAGTATTATATTTGTATTGCGAAATTATCGTTTGAATTTCGAATCATATTTGAAAAGGCGACGTTTATCAATAATCATTTTGTTTTTCTTCAAAAGATAATGATATCGCAGCAAGATATGCCGTGTACATAGCTAATAAAATTTTTGAAATTGATATATATCAGTACATATTGAATTGGAATATTATCGTTTTCTGTGGAAAACAGCTATTTATATATTTAATTTGATAAAACAAATGTTTAAAGAATAGATACGTAGAGTACAGTAAAGTAGATTTCTTCTAAAAAATTTAAATATTAACTGTAATTTATAATACTTTATTATACACAATTTTCCACCAAACAAAAACATCGAAAACAATCCAACTATTTACTAAATTAAAACTTATAACAATTTTATTCAATCATGTACCTGAATTTTATCTTGATAATTGATTATATGTGTTATATTATTCAAATTATTGTTTTCATAAAATTATGTATTTTCAATTTATAACTAAGAAACAAAGTAGTAAGTTAAAGAATTTAACGAAAGATTAAAGAAAGATTTAAAAAGTAATGTTCTCAATTAATGCAAAGCAAATCACAAGTTTTAGCAAAGAGTAACTGAAATATATCCAATTGATCAAAATTAGTAATAATAAAGACTCACGACACATAAAATTATAAATTAGGCAAAAGAATCAGGCTAAGGTTTCTGCTATCAATAAACATGTTTTTGATAACAATCGTCCGATTGTTGGACTTGAAGTTTTTAACTTCTGAAGATGTAGAAATTTCGGAGTTGTAGAAAGTGTTTTTTTACAATTTGCAATATTTGGGATCAAATAGTGTAAAAAATCGTCTTTAAAACAACACAGAATCTAAGAATCAGGCCAACCTATCACTTCCATTCTCGGTCTTCAGAATTTGAATATCATCCATCACAGTTGGGCTTCCATCAAAATCAATTGCAAACATTCAATATCATCGTGCACGCTGCCTCACTCTGCTTTTGACCCAGAAATCAATAATGACTGAATTTTTAATTCTTTTGATTGATATAAAAAATGAATGTCATTGAAAAATATTCGTTAAGATCTTTTTGAAGTGCTTTTGATATCGGAGAAAGTAAGATTTATTTACTTTTTCTTGAAGCAAAGCAGCTGAATCATTTTTAATTGCTTGCTACAATAAAAACAAATCATTATGAATAATGAGTAAATTGACAGTTTGGGATTTTTGTTCGCACTTATTTACGAATTTTGATTTTTAGAACGCGAGATGATGCCTATGGATATCCAACATGAATTTTTGGGTAAATATGAACCGAGTTTTAACCATACAGTGGAATATGTCAAGATTAATGTGAAATAGAGTACAAAAATGTAGAGGGAATTTTGTGATATTAGTTAAGTAATGAACAATCATAATAAGATAATTATAATAATCTATTTTAGTATTATATTTTTGTAAATAATTATATTTTTATAACAAAAGTATTATTGAGCTACTGCATATATTATGAAGTTGTACCGTTAATATTATATATTACATTAAATTAAACCTAGTTTTACAACTTTGAATTGCAGGTTTATTATTTCTAGAGTAATAATTACATGTGGTTAATATACGACAAAGAGGAAGAACAAAACGAAATGCGAATTTATACCCAGGGATTTATTATAATTAAAGGATTTTCTTATTATTGAGTCATAATATTAATGAAGTCGTACCAGACAATATCATTTAAATTAAACCAACACATTTAATTTTAAATTATGATACTCATCTTAATAAAATTTTATAGTTTTTACGTTAATTTCAAATTTAATATTTCAAAATGCAAAATCCCGTTCAGAGAGCATTAAAACATAGAATTTCTGATATGATTGGATTGGATTCCTCACATTTTGCTTATCTTAATAAAATTGTAAGAGCCATTAAAATCATAAACTTCAAATAATTGCTAACTTTCTTCTCAGTGCATGCTCTACCTTTCTGGAACTATAGTATTATTTAGTGCTGTGTGCAAAATATAGATAACTGAATCTGAAAATTTTGTAAAATTAATATATTGATAACAAAATTCAATTTGAATACACACATAGATAAGAAATTTATATGAGGTTCAAAACCCTGAGAATATGCACGTTTTAGCAAAAGTTTTAAAGCATCATTGATGAAAATATTTATTATTTGCGTAGCGAAATAAAAAAAATGTATGACTTCAGCGATGTATATTAATTAATAACATTAATAATGAGCATTCATTCACAGAAAACTGTTATACAGAGTCAGGTTTTCAATACACTTCAATACTTTTCTACAAAGGAGGGCTTCTCAAGTCGACCGATTTAAAAAAATCAAATTCTTAGTTCAACAAAAAGTCTTAATTCTTCTAAACTTGAGGCAATTGTGTTATTATTTTTTATTGTGGTCCTAAAAAGTTTAAATGAACTTTAAATTAATAAAAATTAACCACAATAGCGGATGGTTATAATTTCACCAAAGCTCTAGGTTACGCTTAAAAGCTCATATTTTCCAAACCACATGAGATTTTTAACTTCCCGTAGGGCAAAATGAAAATTTTTAAATATCTTTACGTTTCAAAGGTTTCTGAGTATTTTGGCATACCTTAAAAAAAACGGATGTATGTGTGTGTATGTGTGTGTGTATGCATGTGTGTGCGTGTGTGTGTGCGGATACCAATTTTCGTCGACGATTTCGGGAACACCGATAAACCGATTTGAATAATTCAAAAAATATTCGATTAGTCTTGATAAGGAGACGTGGTGATTAGTTTTTGGCAAAGGCAGATCTAGCCGCCCCGAAGATACGGGGCAAAAAGTGCCAAAAACGGTAACTCAGTTTTTAAGAGAACGAAGCATCTGATTTTAATAATTCAAAAAATATTTCACTTGTATTGACAAGATGAAAAATTTATTAAATTTTTTGGAAGGCAGGTCCAGCGGTTATAGACTCTATATAAAAATAAGTTAAATAATGTCATTTGGCGGTCAAAAATGTTTATTGGCCATATGTACATCAAATTATCAAATATTTTACATTTTGTGTAAATTTTTTTGTGTTCCGTACCAAGATTTTTAATTACCGTACGGAAAGTTTCAGCAATGAGCCTTAAGGCACGATGCCATGCACCCCACTAGTTAAATTTTTTTACAACAATTAATAAGTTCCTGTATATTACATAGTGAAGCAGAAACACATATGCAAAACTGTTGGACAATCATAGATTTGTTTAATATCGAGTTATTTCGTTCGTTCCGAATAGTTTGTGTGCACTACATAAAGCATTTGCTGACGGTGATACTTAGCTGGTTATTGCATAGTTCTTGTGCAAAATGTACGGCCATTTAGAAGGCTCGTGCGGCCGCACATGATGTTTGCGCGTAATAACGGTACGGGCTCAAAAGACGAAACGCCCGTGCCCGAGCCCGTGCATCGCGGGCAGAACGCACTCGAGCGCGATCGCGCTGCCGGAAACAAACAGATTGGCGAGGAAATCGTTGCCAAAAAACTATACAAGATAATGGACTAGTTTCTTTTTATCTAACTATACCTCATCGTTGATTACACATGATTTGCCTCAAAGGCAGGTTTAATAGCACACATTTTGTATGCATTTACATTTAAGCAAATTATTAATATCTTTTAATTTATCACAACTTGTTTGACGTTTCTTACTTTAGACAAATTTTGCATTGTAGTACTAACTCTTGCAATTGTTAAGTAGGTTACTTGGTAACCCAATCGTTGAGGTCAGGTGCGAAATCCCGTGTTCAGCAGACATTAACTTTTAGTAGGCAACAAATATCTCTTTCGCAATAACTATCCATACGCTTCTAATATTGGAACTTTAATTGTTATGGAAATACTTTTTTATATAAAGGATATAATTTGACAAACTAATAATTAAACTGTCATTAAAAACATCTATTTTAAATTGATTATACATTTTAATTGATGTATGTGTGTGTGTGTGCGGCTACAAATTTTCGTCGACGATTTGCGGAACACGGATGAAGCGATTTAAATAATTCAGAAAACATTCGATAAGGAGACGTGCTGATTAGTTTTTGGCAAAGGCAGGTCTAGCCATTCCGAAGATATGAGGCAAAAAGTGCCAAAAGCGGTAACTCAGCGTTTAAGAGAACGGAGCGTCCGATTTGAATAATTCAAAAAACATTTTACTTGTATTAACAAGATGAAGAACCGATCAAATTTTAATGAAGGCAGGTTTAGCGGTTTCGGAGATCAAGTACAAAAAGGAAAAAAAATGCCATTTGGCGGTCTAAAATGATCATTAGACATATGCACATCAAATTATCAGATATTTTATAGAGATTTTAACAATAAGTATAAATTTTGTTTACATTCCTATGGGTTCCGTACCAATGTTTATCCGTTAGATGGCGACGCGGCGCTTACGTGCTTTGACATTTTGTTTCTATGCAGTTAAAGCAGTACGATTGCTTTGAAAAAAAGTTGCCTAATTTCCAAAGTATGTCAAAATAGAGAAAACATTTTTTTTCAAAAAAAGTAATTTTTTGTCAATTTCATAGTTTCTCAAAAACCTAATTTTTTCGAAGTAATTTTTTTTCAAAAATGTTAATTGTTTTTAAAAAAAATAATAATATTTGGTACGGGAAGTTCCTGCAATTTGCTTTAAGGCACGATGCCATACGCCCCACTAGTCTTGTTCTTTATATTAAATACAATAAGCGCCTGATTGTTATACTGGTATTTCTATTATCTTGCGGTAAAAATTGTCGGTTGTCGAGATCCGCATCCTATGAGAAAATATATATCACTTGGTCGTCACAAAGGGCTACCGCAATGTAATAATGTACGTAGCATCATATAACAATCACAATATAACACGAATTTAACGCCTCTCATAATTTTAAACCGTGTCTACGCGTCAATTTCTCACAGTGAACAACAGCGAGATCTATTGCAGCGTAAAAGTGCATCATTTTTCCCTGTCGGAACGCGACGCTGGTATTTTGCGTCAATATGCTGCCCGTCATAATAATAATATGTGCGGTAATTGCGAATGATATGCATGAAAGAGTTTCGTTACGTCTTTGTCAGTGAGCGGCAGCGTACGATAGCACGAGCGGCGGAGCTTGAAGCTAAATAGCGTCTCTTATGCTATTTATCACGCTGATTTTAAATTATATTAACAGTATGTTATCATTAGCATGTTTGTGCACCGCAAAACTAACAATCGCTGCTTTCTAACTGTCAAACAATGTGCTATTCAGAAGCCCCGGCTATCTTGACTCGACTCTCTTCTTGTGTTTTAGATGCTTACTTCAAAAATCCCAAATCTTAATTGAAATTCTGTGGAAAACATTTGTGGGGAAATCAAGCAGGCTAGTGATTGTTGAAAAACAATTGGACGTGTCATATTTTGATATCGTAATATTTTTATAATCAATAAATTTTATATATTTTTTTACAAGTGGAGTTTATACTTTCATATACATTACGACATCCCACACATTTACTGAAAACGGGATTAGAAATTATCCTATTAGGAAAGGAAATAATAACTAGTGGTGTATGGCATCGTGCCTTAAGGCAAACTGCTCGAAATTCCCGTACCGAAATTCGAGAAATTATATACGTTTCCAAATATATTACTACAAATACTGCAACATTCAATATTTTTGCTATCTTGTTATATCTGAGCAAATCAAATGTAAATCATAAAACAATTTATCTCCAGAACATTAACAGTCGTCATTTCATTTCGAATTCAATTTCAAAAAAATAATTTCAAAAGAATAATTTACACAAAATTAAAAAAGTGCTCCCGTATAGTCACAGTCTAAACGCATTTGCAAATAATTCTGTGCGACATTTTCACTTATACTGTGCTTAGCTTGGCGGCATTTTCACATTTTTCAATAGATTTCACAAAATTTGAAAAGTGCTCCAGTTCATAAACAGTCTAATAGCACTTGGGTAAACATTTGTACCAGAGTGGCGCTTAGACTGTGTTTAGCCTGGGTAATTTTTTGAATTTTTAATTCAAAATTACAAATTATTTTATAGTAAATAAAAAAAGTAATAATTTTTTATCCTCAAAAGCAATTGTTTTGTCAATACAAGCAGAAAGTTTTTTAGATCATTCAAATCGGACGCTCAGTTCACTCAAAAACTGCCATTTTTTGCACATTTAGCTCTGTATCTCCGAAACCGCTGGCCCGGCTTTTGCCAAAAATTAATCACCACTTCTCCCCGTCATTACGAATTGAATGTTTTTTGGATCATTCAAATCCGATGCTCCGATCTCTCAAAAACTCGATTTCTATTTTCTGCACTTTTTGCTCCGTATCTCCGAAACGGCTGGACCTGC